ATTTATAAAACTAAAATAGTAAGTAGTATATTAAACTTTTTAAATTATTTAAGAAGTTTTAATAATATTTACTATAATAAAGTCTTTATATAAAAAGGCTTTATAGTAGAGTATAATATATTTTATAGTTTTAAACTATATAGTAATATTATTTTAAGGAAANAAAATATTTATTAAGTTACTATCTTATTAATTTAAAAGCTATTTATAAGACTTCTCTAATTTATTAAAAAATATAGTATTATTTAGTACTCTTACTATATTTAAGATCCCCTTAGTTATAGCTAATATATTAAGACTAGCTTTATATACTTCCTCTACTTATAATAAAGCTTTTTTCCTTTTTAAACTTACTTTAGATCTATAATAGTTTATTAATATCTTCTAGTTCTTATAGATATAGTTTAAGTTATAGTTCTTAAATTTAATAAGTTTAATAGTTATAGAAATAACTTTAGGAGTAATAGTTTATTAGATTAATATCTTAAGAATCTACTAAAAAAGTTTATTCTTATAATTAAAAGTATTTTTAATTTTATCTCTATTTTTAAATTTAGTTTATATTACTATATTTAAAAATAACTACTTAATATTAAGTATTTAAATATCTTTTTAGTTACTAATCTTATAATCCTCCTCTATAGTAGGATTTAAGGCTCTATCTATTCTTAATTCTAATAAATTAGTTACTATACTAAGTATAATAGTAGTAGTTTCTAGTTTCCCTCCTCTTTAGGAATATAGTAGAAGTTCTAAATCTTATTAAATATATCTAAGTTAAAGATAATATAGAGAAGGAAAGCTATAAACTAGTTAATAAAGAAACTAAAGGTATATTTTAATAAGTATTAAGTAATATAGTAGTAAAAATTACTATTAATCTATCTATCTATATAACTAAGCTTTATTTTAATATAATAAATAAAAAAGCTACTAAGGATTAAGCTTTTTAAGGTCTTATTAAATAAGCTAATAAAGAAACTTATATTAAGTATATAGTAGCTACTAATATATATATCTTCTATAATAGTACTTATAAACTATAGTTTTAATATAATATCTATAAAGCCTCTAATTATAACTAAAGTTAATATAACTCTATTTTAAAGTTTATTAAAGTTAATATAGTCTTTAGATATAATATTTACTATAGAGCTAATATTAATAATTCTTAACTATTCCTTAACTAAATAATATCTAATTTAAATAGCTACTTAGAAATAAGGTATAATAAAGTTATATATAGTAACTATATACTTTCTATTAGAGTAAAGTATAACTTTAAGTTAAGGTTATTAAAAGTCTTCTATAGCTAAAACCTTAATATTAGTTAGTTTAAAGCTTTATAATATTAAGATATCTACTATATTTATATTAATATAGTAGCTTCTTCTAATAAGTTATAGTTCTTCTATTAATATATTAGTACTACTTTTTATAGATCTAAAATTACTATTCTTAGGCTACTATAAGTTAGTTTTATATTCCTTATTTTATTTCCTTATAAGTTTCTTAATATTTACTTCTTAGTTTTTAATTTATATATAAGTATTAACTAAAGCTAAGTTAATAATAACTATATTACTACTATATATTTAGTCTTAATATTACTTTATATATATTATTATATATTAAAACTTAAGCTATTTATATTCTAGCTAGTTATTTAAGAGAAACTATTTTAATAGAGTAATATTACTTATCTACTTTTTACTATAAAAAGTTATAGCTTAAGAATAGGTTTCTTTTAAGTCTAAAAAGAGGGTTATTTAGTATAGCTTTTTAGTTTTTTTATAATAAGTAGGTCCTTATAACTAAGGTTATAAAAAGACCTATATAATTATTTTATTTTTAATTACTTCCTTAACTTAAGTACCTTCTATAAGTATAATACCTTATTAAGTTAAGATCTAGTTTATAAAATAAACCTTCTTTATTAAGGAGTTACTATATAAAGTATATTAGAAGTTATTATTCTTTATTTTAATAATAATATTAACCTCTACTAACTCTTTATCTCTTATATAATTAAGATTCNAACTATATAGCTATATATATACTTAATATTAATATAATTAATAGTAGTTATTAATACTTATTATTTAACCTCCTCTTATTCTCTCTAAGTTTTATCTACTATAATTATAGTTTCTTAATAATAAATAGATAATTCTAAGCTAAATACTTACTTTAAGTAGTATTTATTATAGAATTACTTTATTACTACTTCTAGTTAAGGGTATACTTTATTTTAGAGGATATAAACCTAAATAGTTACTAAATTAGGTATTAAGTTCTTCTATTCTTTATTAATAATACTATTTTAAATAATATTATAATTAGTATAAGAGCTAATATACTATCTCCTTAAGTAGTATATTACTTTAGTATTCCTTAAGTTATCTATAATATTATATTTAGCTATATAATATCTATTTATTTTATAAAAGTAGTAACTTCTAATCCTAAGTATATTATATTATATTTAGTTTATAGTAGTTAAACTTATAAATTAGCTAACCTCTCTTTACTATTTATAATTCCTTTATACTATAAATATTTAGTTTATATCTATAATATAACTATTCTATATTAATTTAAACTACTAGCTAATATTTATATTTAGCTTCTAAATACTAGCTATAAATACTTTTATTTATTCCTTAATATCTTTATTATTAAGAGATATTTAGTATATTTACTCTTAAAAAGTAATAACTTTATTAGAATTTACTATTTTTAAATTACTATATTACTACTAAATATAGGTAATTTATATAAACTAGTTAATAGGTTTAATAAAACTAATAATTAAGGAAGGAGTAATTACTTTTATAGCTTTCTTTTTATTAATATATATATAAGAGGTCTCTCTAGCTATTTATTTAATAATTATATACTTAATATTTAGTTAAAACTTTTAGAATAAGTTTATAATATTATAAAAGAGAGCTTTTATAATAACTTTAATAGCTCCTTTTAGTAAGTATTTATAAATAAAGTAAATAAGATCTTAGTCTTAATACTTTAAGAGTTCTTTTATAATAGCTTTATAATATAAGTTCTTAATATAATTAAAGAGGGTTATAATACTAATAATATCTATATTAGAGAGGGGAGGTTTATCTTTAATTACTTAAAGCTCTTTATTAAAGTCCTAATAGAAGCTTTTATCTATAATATTATATTAATTAATAAAAGTAATTTTAGTAACTTCTTAATTATTAAGGTTTTTAATTAGTAATTTAATACTTTACTTTAAGTTTTTAAGACTATAGAAGTAAACCTTTATTAGTTTATCCTTATTAATTTAATAGACTTTATAGGATTAAAAGTTATAAGTTTTAATAAAATCTATAATATTATTATTTATAAATATAAAAGTATTCTTATTTAGGAAGGGATTTATTATAATTAGTATAAGATATTAAAAGTATAACTCTATTAGTTATTTAATAATTCCTATTAGTTAATTTATAGAAATAAAATAAATATTATTAATAAGAGCTATAAGTTATTATTAAACTTTATAAATATTATTATTTAAAATATAGTAAGGATTAATACTAAAGGCTTATTCTTTACCTCTATTAGTTTTAGTATAGAGGTAAGTATTATTAATAGTATAGTTAACCTTAATAAAGTTAATATTAATAATTTAAGCTTATAAACTAGAAGAGCTATTAAATAAGTTATCTTTAGAAGTTAAAATTACTTTAATTTAATCTTAGATATTCCTAAATACTTTAGTTTAGATATTAAATATATTAGTAAACTTATTTTTAGTAGTAAGGTTATAAGGAGTTAGAATATCTTTATATAATATTTCTTTAATTATTTTAAATTATATTTTAGCTATAATAGTTATTAATAATTAAGATAGTAAATATATAAGTTATTATTTTTAAGTAATTAAAAATATTAGTCTTTTTAATCNCTTAAGTATTATTATTACTTTTTCTAAAAATATAATAAAAGAAAAGGAGATAAGAGAAAAAAGTATAACTAAATAAATAAGTATTATACCTCTACCTTTATTAATTTTAAGTTTAATTAGCTATACTATTTTAAATCTCTATAGTTAACTTTATATTCTTTCTTCTAAGTTTCTATTAATTAATTTATTAGAAGTTATATAAATTATTAATAACTTTATAGTAAATTTATTTTATTTTTTTATAATAAACTTATTAGTTCCTAGAAGTTATTTTATTTAAATATTATAAAGCTTTATATTCTTATTAGTTTAAAAAGCTTATTAAGTAGATCTAATTTAATTTTAATAGCTTATAATATTAAAGAGTAATAAGAGTAAAAATAAATAAAAATCTAATACTCCCTATTATATAAGCTATAATACTTTTAAGGTCTTTTTTAAAGTCTTTTTATATCCTTATATTCTTATTACTAAAGTTATACTTAGCTATTATACTTCTCTACTTATTATAAATTAAGTCTATAAATAACTACTTAACTCCTATTAATATATTATATTTCTTAGTATTATATAGTTAGTAATAATAGTTATAGTTATTATATATATTATATTAATCTATTTATTTAATATAAGAATAAGCTTTTCTCTAGTATTTCTTATAGATATCTAAAAGAAGAAAGAATCTACCTCTAAATACTATTAAAATAGTTATAAACTTAATAACTAAGAGCTATATAATATAGTAATATATATATACCCTTAAGTATATATAGTTACTATAGCTATATAACTTTATAGTTTTAAAACTTATAATTTTAAAAAAAAAAGGAAAAAACTTCTTATTTATTTTATAGATCTAAAATAAAAAGAATAGGATTAAAAACTTAAAAATTTATTAAAAAATAAGTAAATTCTCCTCTTAATCTATAAGGATTAATAATAATATCTAAGCTAACTTCTTACTTCTTAAAGGGGGCTAGTAATCTAACCTCTAAACGCTGAAAACGCTAAAAAATCTAGTAGGCCTACTAAACCCCGTTCTACCACTGAGTGTAACAAGTGTATGGACGCACTTATGCAGACTGCAATTTTTGAGGTCATGGGTTGTGGAGTTGCTGCTCTTGGCGTTAGCGCTCTCAGCGGAGGTGCCGCGTCTGCACTTGCTGCTATGGGCTTTCTTGCTTGCGACGGAACCGTCTACGGAAGCTATGAGAAGGGGCTGGTTGAATGCAGAGCGTTTTAAAGGGGGGATGCTCAGTCTGTCCAGTCACGAGACACACGCAACTTGTGTGTCTGTTTAAACAGGCCTATGTGTCTCGAGACGTCATCTGAGCTTTGGGAGAGTATCTCACCAATACCACAAGAACATGGATACTTGTTCCTGAATATCACCATTCAATATCATATTCTTCTTCTCTTATAATACAACTTAATGCAATTGGTTTCTACAATTTAAAGATCGCACAAGTGTTTTTAGATTACGAAGAAGCGGCAAGGTGTGAATTTGCCGACAAGAACCCGTCTCGGCAAAGATGCAAGTTCGCCGTTTCCACCGTTGGCACGTTCGAGTCATCAGCTAGGTCTCTGGTATCGGCGCCGACACCAAGAACCGAAGAAACTCTATCAATACTGCGAAATTTAACAAAATTTTGCTTATATTAGTGCAACATGCGCAGGAATTGATTTCGATTTATTGAAGCGGTCATGTTGCTTAGCAACTTATGATAAGTTCCATTGTGTACAATTTGCGGGGAAAATTCGGCCTGGCGATATTTTGCCGCCTCAATATGCTTCAAGTGACTGCCTCGGCACTTCATCAGGTCTCCGTTCGATTGTCTTAGGTATCCGATACTCTCGAACTCTCCAGGGGCTGTGTGTCATAGAAAGACCACAAAAAACATGCACAACCGGCAAAGGACTTGGGCGCCGATTCATGAGGTTATAAGTACTAGTGATTATTTCCATAGCTCCTGTAATCGAAAATCATACACAATATTCCCTTGCCATTTCAATCTTTCGGATCATTATCGAAATTTCTTTTGCTCATTATGACGATCACTCACTCCCACCATCTCAGCGATCGCCGCCTCATCAAGTCAACAGCATCAGCCGCTGCCGTTTGTGTTCAAAATCTTGGTTGCTGGAAGGCTGCAGTTAATGAGATTCAGTCTTGGCCAGAATACACATGTCAGCCGTTACGAGCTTTACCTCATGCTGCCAACAGTTTGGGAGTTGGCAACATCTTTGTCAAAGATGAGAGCAAGCGATTCGGCGAATCTCTAGGCTCTTTCAAAGCCTTGGGTGCACCATACGCTGTTTACTCCATCCTTGCAGACGAAGTTCTTCGCCAGACTGGAGCTAGGCCATCGTCCACAGAGTTGCGCAGCGGAAAATACGGCGCGTTCACTCGGAACGTGACTGTATGTGTCGCGACGGACGGCAATCAGGGCCGAGGACTCGCATACGGTGCCAAGATATTTGGCTGTCGATGCGTGGATTACATCCATAGTCATGTGAGCCAAGGCCGTGCCAATGCGATGACAGATCTCGGAGCGTTGGTCATTCGAGTTGATGGAGAGTATGAGGAGTCAGTTCGTCGGGCAAGGGAGGATGCCCACATGAACGGTTGGCATTTCGTCAGCAGTACCTCGTGGTCTGACTTCGATGAAATCATTCCGAAGACTGTCATGAATGCCTACATGGTCGTGGTCGAGGAGACGCTCCAAATGCTGCCCTGCGCAGGGGACATTACCCATGTCTTTGTTTGCGGTGGAGTGGGTAGCATCGCGGCAGCGGTCTTCATGGGCCTTTACAAGCACTTTCAGGAGCTTCAAGACCTGGGTCACCCTGTTCAGATTCCACGTTTCGTCGTTATCGAGCCAAACCAAGCAGACTGTTTGTTGCAAAGTGCCAAGGCGGGAGAAATGCGCCAGTCCTGTGGCAGCCTGCGCACTCTCATGGCTGGCTTGGCTTGTCGAGGCCCGTCTCCGGCAGCATGGAAACTTCTTGAATGGCTTGCTAGCGACTTTGTCTCAGTTTCTGACTCAATTGCGGTTGATGGGATGAGATATCTGGCGGAGGGGTGCGAAGGAGATGTCCCTGTGGTTTGTGGGGAGTCGTCAGCTGCGAGCATGGGGCTTCTTCTGAGCTCCAGTTCTAACAAGGCTTTGCGCAAATCCCTTGGTCTGAATGAGCAAAGTCAGTGTCTTCTGTTTGGTCTTGAAGGTGCGACAGACCCCGAGATATATGAGGATTTGGTTGGACGCACGCCTCAGACAGTTTTCGAAGCGCAGAATAAGTTCTTGGCGACCCAGACGGAAGGTTGATTGAGTATTCTCGTTCTCGTCATTATTTTATTACAACTCGGAATCAATTTTCTCAGTTTTCGGTTGCAAAAATAAATATCTTGTCAATTCGTTTGGGATACACCGTTAGACTAAGTCATGCCGAGCACTTCAGTCCAACAAATGATGTCCATCGGTAATTTTCGGTGATAATTCGCTGTTCCCAGTTCTGTGAGATAAATCTTCCGGAGTTAAGTGCAAGCTCTCTCTTTTCCATTGGGACTTCATAAGACCACCCGGAAACCTCTCCATGTAGATGTTGTGTTGTTATGCTGGAGACGCGCCGGTGGTTGTTTACATGATGGGAAGAGTGACATACCGCCACTTTAGGATTAGTACGTCTGTTTTTAGACACCCATTGTGCCGAGATATCTGCTCCTGCAGGCTCGTCCAGTCTTCATTGAAGAGACGAGTGAGTTGACTCTGCCTTCGAGTCGTGCATCGATGGAGCTTCAACTTGCCAAAATATAGCGATCCCAAGAAATTGTCTCAAGCCTTACCTCGCTTGTCAGCTGGTGGTTGCGAGGCGCAAACAATCGATCATCCATGGGTAGCGCTTGGTTGCCCCACATTCGCATATCATCGGAGCTCTAGCGCTCAAGCGCCCAACCTCGGCTGTTTGTTGTTTGTCTTACCCCCTTACGGCCAACTCACCGAAATCACACTGAAGCTCCCCGCCAAACATGAACGATTACTGATCATCAAGAATCAATACATTAACCAGCTTTTGGGCTCGTCCGATAAGCTACACTCTAAATTCGGTGAAGGGTGCCATTATTGAAACCATCACTCCAAGTTCCCAGCGCTTCTACGAACCTAACCCCACCATGGCCACCTTGCAAGAGCAGGTCGCCGCGGACGACCTCGGTTCTGACAGGTTTGCCAGCCGCATTAACCCTGGGCGCATGGGAAATGCGCAAAACATCGCCTACGGAGGGTGCACTATCGGGTTCGGCATCTCATCAGCATGCCACACGGTTGAACCCAAGTACCTTCTCTATTCAGTCACCGGCAACTATCTTGGTCCAGCCTTGACGGATCGGAAGCTGAAAAGTACAGTTCGCAGAGTTCGCGACACCAGAACCTTCGCGACAAGACTCATTGAGATCAGCCAGGACCAAGATAATGGAGAGTCGCGACTGTGCATGATCATGCTGGCGGATTTTCAGGTGAAAGAGCCTGCTTCGCTATTGTTGTACTCAGCACCGCCATCAAGGTCATATTCTCCGCCAGAAAAGGGTCTTCTCCCGACTGAGGCAGCGGAGAAGCTGGTCAGGGAGGGCGTCGTATCAGAGAAGCTGGGCAAGCTGTACCTCGTTACTTTCGGTCTGAACGCCCGCTTCCTCGAAAGTCGCATGACGCCTGAGGGCGTTGCCCCCAACAATCTCCACGGCGTGGCCAAGAAAGCCAAAACACCCCAAGATGGCCTTCCTCTGACTTCCAAGACCACGGCCGATTGGCTTCGGTCTCGCCATCCGATGGAGCGACTTCAAGACCGGTTTGCCGGCCTAGGCTTTGTCCTAGATGGGGCGCTGTCTTTCATCCCTCTCACACACAACTACATGTTCCTAGACGACGCTGCAGCGTGCTCTAGTCTTGACTTCGCGCTCAGATTCTTCACTGGCGAGATAGATTTGGACAAGTGGCATCTCAGAGAATTGAAAACCATTACAGGACGCGATGGGAGGACGTACACCGAAGCCAGACTTTGGGATCAAGATGGGAACATGGTCGCAAATATGACCCAGCAGTCTATCATGAGACCTTTGAAGAAGGCAGCCACGGCCTCTCTTTAGAGATTCTCGGTTTAGTTGCCAGCGCTCAGCCTGTGTATACGCAGAATGGGTTATTAATCAACAGCGAGCCCAGCGAAGTTTACGTGGGTTGGCTTATAAAGAGAGTAACATAGACCTCTGGACGACCATGTCTCTCAGACTCCATATGTTTTTATGAATATACATTTCCTAGGTAGAACCGGAATCATTGTCTCTTCGCTTTGAAGACCCTTGCTCTTGCTTGGACTCTCATCCATCTTAGGAAGGTGAGGCTTGAGCTAGATATCGCTTTCAGTTGGTGTTGCTAGCCTTACTCCTGAGAGTTTCACGCTGCATCGGATACTTCCGAAAGAACATTCGGTCGTCTCTCTGCACTTTTGACACTAATATGTGATAAGTAGCCTCCTGTGCCGTTGTTCCGTGTTTCCGGAAAGTGACGGATTTAATTGAAACAACCGAATGACGTAGATGAGGATTGTGTTCGGTGTGGTCCTGATCCAGTGAGTCGATAAGGTATCTTACACGTTAGCGATTTTGTTCTTTCCTTCCCTCTTCTTGCTTGAAACTTAATAAGCAGACATGATACCCGCTGTAGGTTCGTGCCAATTAGACGTCGCCAGTTTCATTACGTGCGAATTGCAGTACGGATCTCAGCAGCTAGCCTCCGCCTGGAACGGCCGGGAACATCCAAACTACCCTCGTACGACGTTTCGTTCAATGGGTCGTCAGGTTCATCTGTATTCGTGATGAACTTGCCTGCATTTCTCGTGCTGTCATCCGCGGCAGCCGGCCAGCATGGCGGACAACATATGTAAGCATTTCGGAGCTGTACCGATAGTATTGCCGTCCATCCGAGTGAAAGATTCTAAGCATGATAGCATGAGGCTACAGCAATTCTCAGTAATGCTTTGCCATAAAGGCCTCCTGAGACTCAATGACTCGACCTTCTTCGTCAAAACCACTACCATCGGTAAGAACCGATGTAGCCTGCGGGGCATCATGCCATCGGCGCTGCCCCGAAAGCCAAACCTGGGGACTGAAAATACATGCGGGGTAGTCTGAGTCCGTGAATCTGGGGAAATTGGGGTACGAGGGTTTTGCAAGTAAATGACACGCCGTATTATAATAGCCTCCTCCGGGTTGGTCGAATTGGTGTAGCCATTTCGAGCGTTCAGGATATTTGCTATCCAGTTGCCAGCCTTTACGTTACAAAATGGACGCTCTCAAAAAGTCATCCCTTGCGAAATATGTCAATGGCGTAAAATCATTGCCTTCCGGAATTTTTAACTGGCATCTGTTTGTCACTGTGGCTGCATTTGCGCTAGGGGGCTGCCCGAAAGGTTGTATTTCACCACCACCTAGTTTCAAGCTTTGATGTCTTTCACTAACTAGCCATATCTTTGATAGGATGGGACGAAGGAGCTGCTGCTTCAATCACCGAGCTCGAATCATTCAAACACGCTTATCACCTTGGAGGCTCGAATAGCAAAACAACGATTTCTAACCTCGTCTCGTTCGTCAACATCGGTGCAGGCGTCGGAGCATTTCTGTCCTTTTTCCTCAACGACAAGATTGGACGTCTTTGGTCGATGCGCCTCTATCAGACAATTTATGCTGCCGGATCTTTGATATCTTGCTTCTCTTACGGAAACCATGGCGTACTTTATGTCGGACGCATCATTGCCGGGCTGGGAATTGGTGCTTGCACGGTTGTGGGCCCAATGTCCATCGCTGAAATGGCCCCAAAGAGCATTCGAGGTCTAATGACCTTGTGGTTCAACGTCTGCATGTTGGGAGGCCAGGCACTGGGCATTTTCACAGTGTTTGGCTGCAGCACCAACATTTCATCGGAGCACAGTCTTCAGTACCAGATTCCCTGGTTCGTTCAGACCTTTGTCCCCGCAATCGCTGTCGGCTTGTCATTCTTTTCAGTTGAGTCGCCGAGGTGGCTCGCCATTCAGGGAAAGCAGAAGGATGCCCTTGACGCTCTGGTGAAGCTCCGTGGTTTACCAGCTGATCACCCATACTTGGAGGAGGAGTATGCCTTGATCGAAACCCACTTGGATGATGAGAACCAGCAGTCTGGGGCAGGGGTATTTGTCTATCATGAAAGAGACTTTTATGGTACGGTCGAATCTCCGCCGGGTGCAGTTGACTATCGTTGCCTATATCCTTGCCCAATTTTCCGGCGCCAACTCGGTGAGTAAACTGACCTCAACTGGCGGACCCCGTTTGCTAATTGGCAACTTCAGGTTACCAACTATCTTCCAACGATCTTCGGCTACATTGGAGTTCAGGGTGCTGGTGTCAAAGTCTACTCTTCGGGCTTATACGCCGTTGCGAAGATGATTTGTTGTCTTGTCGCCTCCCTTGTCTTTGTCGATGTCCTCGGCAGACGAAAGTCTCTCATTATCGGCATTACAATTCAGGCTGCTTGTCGCGCCTACCTCAGTGGCTATCTGAAGTACTTTACCAAAGACCCAGACTCAGTACCGAAAGGGGCATCAGACGCTGCCATCGGCATCATCTACATCCACGCTCTTGGATGGGCTGTGGGACTTTATACTTTACCATACCTGTTCGGTGCGGAGCTTTAGCCTAATCGTATTAGATCGTTTGGTGGTGCGTTGTCCCAAGGATTTCACTGGTTGTTCTATTTCGCCATCACAAAAGCAACACCGAGCATCCTGAGCAGTATGGACATCTGGGGTGCCTTCTTGTTCTTTGTCGGATGGTGCATCCTTGCCTTCATCTACACGCTGTTCTTCATTCCTGAAACGAGTGGCTTGAGCTTGGATGAAATGGATGCCATTTTCCAGCGACCCATGCACAGGATGCGACAAGCAGCATCTGGGAAGAGTGAGGAGGAGCGAATCGGCAGGCGAGTCTCGGTTGAAAAGGAGGCAGTGGCCCATCTTGAAAGGGACTAGATCAAGAACGAAATGAGCAACACACTATCTCCTCAGTTCGCATCCATCACCATGAAAATTGCGGCTTCATTGTGTCTCAAGCAGCGGGGTGTGCGCATCTACTGTAGACCCTCGTAAATGCTTTCGTCTCCTTGACGCGAGCGTAGCTTTGTCGATGCTTGGCCCGCGGAAGACACCCTTTCTCGAAAACACCCACCCTAACCAAGTCAAGAAGAACAACACCGATGCAACAATGCTGTGAATCATTAGCTATCAGGCTCCACCAGGGACTATCGACTGCCTTTGGTCCTTCCTGTGCAGATATAGTCACTGACCTGTTGTAATTCATGTTGAAAGGTGTTATTGGATATTCGGTGGGAAGACAGCAGGCAATTACCAGCAACACAGTCCAGATTGTCGATATGAAGTTGACAGCGTAGCCAAATCGTCCCAAGCTGAATGGCCGCTCAGGAAGAAGCTCGTGACGATCCACGAATAGGAGAATGGCCTGTGGGATGACGTAGGATCCGACTAGAAAGATGATAGAAGCGCTCACCATGAGCTCAAATGCCGTCTCTGACCCAACGAAGACCAATCCATAGACCTAGTAACTCCTTAGTTTTGGTTTCTCTCTGGCGCAAAACGAAGAACTCTTACGATGGAAAATGCCGCCTGTATTATGACAGCGTTGAGAGGCATTCCGAATCTTGGACTTATCTGCTTCCACAAATCGGATCGCGGAAAGCATTCGTCGCGTGCAGCAGACCAAAGTGCTCGGGATGACCCTGTTATGATTGCGACCACGCAAGCGAAGAAGCATACCGCGAAGGCGACCATGAGAAGTACGGTTATGACTCGACTGTCTGTTGCTTGATAGTATAGCTGGATCAAAGGAAGTCCACTAGGGGCATTCAGAATCTCATCAATATCCTTGATGACGAACATGCAAGTGCATGCAAACGGGAAAACTGGAATCTCATTAGTGCGAAAAGTATCGTGGCCGCAGGGCTCGAACAATACCTGTTGCCAGTCCGATTATTACTGGGTACATCTGAGTCCTGTTAGCACACTCTTGCGGTGAGCGAATTGCGGGAATACCCACGATCACTTTGGGGGCAGTAACAGTGGGATTCGGGATTTCCTCCGTCATGTGGACACCGGCATCTGTTCCAAGGAACCCGTAGAGATTGTTGACGAAGCAAAGCACCCATGCGAGAGAGTGACTTTCCCATCCGCTGGATATCGTGTTGTCCGTAAATACCCACCTGGCTAAGTTGTAGTTGGGGTAACTGCAGAAGAGCATTGTAATAGTTGTTACTACTAGGGTTGCCATAGAAAATACGACTTTCCTCGGCAGTTAGTCGAGAGCTTTACCATCTCCGAGGGAATCTCGCAGACGTACAGATGAAACCAGTCAAAGCCGGTAGTTTCCGGGCTCCAAGAGTGTTGATAGTGGCTCCAAGTACCATGATAGCCACATAAACAAGATACTTGTGCCATGGGTCGATGGTGTAGTCGGGATTGATGAACTGCACAATGGATAGGACCATGCCAGAGATGAAGTTGGATGTACTTGCGCCTCCAAGCCAAATGCCTAGTACACTTATTACGGCAGTGCTTTCCGGCGAGTTAAGAATAGTTCATGAATTTCAGAACGTACTGACTTACCTGTACGAAATGAATGGCCCCCATTTCGGGGGAGACAGGATAAAGGCCCAGTAGTATTGCCCGCCGGCGACGGGGAATGCAGAAGTCAACTCGGCCATCCCCAATGATACAATACCAATGAACAAAGCCGCAGGAAAGAGCATGAATATGCTGCCAGCAGATGATCCCTGCTTAATACCATTGCCGATGGCACTGCATAGGACAACCAGTCAGTTACGTTACTGTGGGATGTCTGGAGAACCTGAGATTTGAGATGCTAACCTGGCGAAACCATTCCATGTGCATATTACAGCATAGGACAGAGCCAACAGAGAAAACGTAGAGAACTGCCTCGGCATCTCTCGATGGTAACCAGATGCCTCTAATTCCGCATCATCGTAGTTGGCCTGGTCATCGATATCTTCAATCGGAGGTCGGGCTGATGTGCTGGGTGTCACTGTCACTCGTCCCTCAGCATCCTGACCAGGTCTCAATCTTGAGGCCGATTTCATTGCAGCCAGTCGTTCTTGCCAAAGGTTACGGCATGAGGTCCTAGATGCAGCGTTGGACGACTGAGGAAGGTGGTAGGGACTGGGTTTTGTGTCGGCGATGTCGGCCTGACTCAAGGATCCGCTCCCCGCAACGCTAGTAACACTCGCTAATAGCCCGTGACCTACAGCAGTCATCCCAGCAGCGATAAGCATCTTTTTCGCTATTGCTCACTGAGACAATCGGGCACCTTATCAACCCTCAGTCAAACTTTCCAGGGAATGAAATCCAGCAGCCTCGGGACGACAGCTGGCGGCCGGATATCAAGTCCTTGAATAAGACCGACCCGGGAACGGCCGGTGCGGCGCCACTCCGGGCGCAGCAGTCGACCAACTCCCTCGGCCGCGTGAAATAATGGAAACCGAAAGCCGTGAATGATCATTCGCACGTCACGGGACCTGCTTGTGTTCACGGTTTCCTCTCAAATTGCTGCAAAGCCAGTGTCTTGGAACAAAAACAGTACTCGGCGTAAAGTGTTCGAAGGAGGAAAGGAGGCTTGCGATGTGAGATGAGTTTGGAGATTTTGCAGCTTCGAGAACCTGTTCATCACGTCCATCATGCACAGTGAGAGCCAGTGTATCTTGAATGGTCAAGTGACTGAATTTTATGTGTTCACATCTTTATTGAATGTATCACCTCAATGCCTTTCATATACCACAGTCCATTTCATCATGGTAGTCAATTAAGCCCTTTTTACAACCACCGAGCATACCCTAAACTCCTTCATAAGCCGGAACCTAAGAACTTGTGTTCCATTAAGACATTACACACTAAAAGTAGTCCACGTCTCATCAAAATGAGGGGATAGAAGAAGAAGAAGTCATGAGATCGATCAAGCACACAGCATTTCGTGCAACTGAATTACTCAGTTGCATGTGCCAAAGGCAGGCTGGCACCCCGTGCCGCAGTGGTCGGTAGTGCTTCCACACCAACCATACTGGCTACAGCACGTGGCGCCAGGCTCCCTAATGCACGTTGTACCGCCCTGGGTCGAACCACAGCGGCCGTTGGTGCTCACCGGCGGAGTACCTGAAGGCCCGTTAGCCGAGCTGACGGGAGTAGATGAGCTCGCAGGGGTCGATGACGACGGCGGCGCAGAGCTCACACGTACACTCGAAGCTGACGCGCCCGAAATGGCACAGGTGCCGTAGAGGGGCTGGCAGGACGCGCCGCAGTGATCGGCGGTGTTGCCGCACCAGCCGGCGGAGGAACAGCACGTGGCGCCGGGCTCGTTGACGCAGGTCGTGAAGCCAAAGTTGGGGCCGCAGCGGCCGTCTGTGGAGGGCGTCAGGGTTCCTGTGGGAGAAGCGACGGAGGTGCTGAGGGTAGTGGGAGTGACGCGGGTGGTGGTCGTGCCGGAGCTGGGCGGGGCGTCGCCAACGGAGCGGTACCAGTTCTCCTGGGGGTCGCCGAGGCACTCTCCGACAGTGACGGACTTGAAGCCGTTGCGGAAAAGGGACTCGAGCATGTGGTCTGTCAGGTTGTAGACGGACTGGTAGACAGGGTCGTGCTCGATTTGCAGCCACTTGGTGTTGGCGGGGTCCTTGCCTTCGACGTTGTCGTCCCAGATGTCCTTGGAGTCCTGGATGAGCTCCGGGCTGTCGTGGAGGTAACCCTCAGTGTCCAGGTTGAAGTAGGTGATATGGTAGCCGAGGTCATCCAAGTAGCCTTCACAAGTAGCGTCACAGGCGGAGTAAGGTGGTCTATAGATGTCAGCCAGGTCTTCTTTGCAGAGAGAGAGAGAGAGTTGTAGCATACCTCATGTAAGTCGGGAAGTAACCCAGCAGGTCGGCGAAAGCGATCTCATTGTAGATCATCTGGTTGCGGAACTTCTCTGCACTAATGGTCGTGAGTCTCTGGTGAGACCACGTGTGGCTAGCAACCTGGTGGCCCTCGGCGATCATGCGCTGGCAAAAGTCAGTTTGCGATTCCAGAATTCTGGAACGAATTCACGTACTCTGATCAGAGCAGGCCAATTGGTGGTCGGGTCGTTGATCTTGCCCTTGCCGAGGTTGTTGCCGGTGATGTAGAAGGTAGCCTTGGCATTGTACGCCTACACAGAGATCAGCCAAACTCATTCGTCAGAGTACCTGCCTGATAAAGACGTACCTTCAGCTTGTCCAGCAGATCCTCGGTGTAGATGTAAGGTCCGTCATCAAAACTCAAAGCAATGTCACCGTACTGCTCGCAGTGATAGATGGCCTCGCCGTAAGGCACCGGGCCAACCTTGGTGCGAGCGACGTTGGTCGTGTCCGGCCCGTCTGGGCGGATGTTGGCATCACATGCCGGGCCGTACTCAATCATGCACGACGGCGCAGAGCAATAGAGATACCCTTGACCGCACCATCTGCCATACATTTCAATATCCACGTCTTGGAAACATCTGGGGCAGAGACATGACTTACCCTGCGCTGGAACAGCAGTATCCATCGTCGCAGACCTGGTTGTCGTAGTCCGGACCGCAGCGGCCCACGGACTGACGCGCCTCCAGCTCCGACGCCGCTGGCGCCGGCTCAACTTCCGCAGCGCGGCGCTGAATCTGGCGACGGGCCGCAGTGAAGTCCTGCATGGCGCGTCTCCCAGTCATGATCTGGGGCACGGGAAGCCTGTCGCCAGCATCGGCGCCGTGTGCAGCGACTAAGCCGAGACCAGCCGCGAAAGCGAAGGTGGTGAAATGCATCGTGAAAGTATGCGGGAAGTACAACTTGGGGTTGGTAACGAATGATTTGTCCCCGTGGACACACACAACACCGCTGAACGAATGGACTATGGCAAGGCAAAATTCAGTGAAGAACAGGGCCAGGCCAAATGGGACAATGTACACA